TATATTATATTATATTATATTATATTATATTATATTATATTATATTATATATCAAGCAATTTATACTTCAACACATTTTCTGCAGAGATTTTCCTCTCTTGTTGCAAAATTCTGATACCCTAAAATAGTATTTGCAACAAAATATGGAATTCCTGTAATCAAGACTTTTAAATAAACTTTAAGAAATCCTTCATGCCAATGCTGCACAAGCCAGCAGACAGGTCTGCAGGCCCTTGAGTGTTGCTACCAGAACGTGAAGCAGCAGCTTGATTGGTAATGCATGCAGAAATTGGACTCCTGAGGAGCTGAGAGATGCCCAGGGATGGTAACACCAGTACTGGTGACAGGGAGCCTGCCGGCAGCAATTAAGGACCACATAAAGGGAATCAAAGAAATCTCCTCTCTTGTTCACCCTCCAAACTAAACAAACAGCCTTATACACAGAGGCAGCAATGATATTCCCTGCTCCATTTGAAGTTTATACAGATCTACCAAAAATGCATTTGTAGGTTTTGCATAAGAGGTTTGTATATAACAGAGGGGTTTATATAACATAATGCAGCAAAGACTTCAACCTATGCATTTTACATAAGCTATTTCAAGTAGAGGGGATTAAACCATGTGAGATGTTTCACAAGTTTGTATTATAAAGTAATGATTTTACTAAAATTATCCTAACACAGTGTAGAATTCACTAACAACTAAATAATATATAGTTTAATACCTCCGGTTGCTCAACACTGAACTGTTTTTTCTAGCCTTAAAAACATTAATCAGTGATGCTAGGGACATCATAGAGCTCAGTCTGGTCTCCAGAGATGATAAAGTGAGTTTCTTTGCAAATGCTTCAGTCACGCACAGTCCTTGCCATGTTAGAAGCAGAGGAAAGACTGGCAAGACAAGCAGTTCAGCATTAAAATGGCTCCACAAGCACAAGCTGTCTCCAAACCAGCTCTCACACTGCATGAGTCGACCCTGCCCAACAGCCCCCAGCACAGCCTTGGGTGGGACCACCAGGCATATTGCCTCTGCATCAGCAATGGTGACATCCAGCAGAAAGGTGACCTCAATAATAGGTATTCAAAAGGCTAAATGTGAAAGTCCTTATTCCCTTGTTCACAGGTTTGGGGGCAGCAGCTGTGCTCGGGCTGCCTCATGTTCTGACCCCAGCCCAGATCTTCTCATCCACCCTGGTCTAGAGCACCATTTTCCTCTCACTGTTCTCAATTTGAGTTTCAGACCCACTCCAGGAGTACTGAATTGGGTTACTTACTCAAGTTGCAGGTTGCAGCACAGTGGGCCCCATAGAAAAAAGAAAATAAAAATTGGGATTCAATATTAATCTTTATTTTGTGTCTTATTCTCATTGTTATTCTCAGTAAACCTAAATTTGCACCCAGACCCGTCCACATTGAGGAACACTTCCAAGCAGAGCTTATAAACCCAGAGCTAATTCACTCCTAATCAGAAGCTGGGATTCCTGGCAGAGGGATATATGCTGAAATGCTTTGAAACTTGGAGAAAACCCAGTATAAAGGTGCCAAAGCTAAAGCAGGAAAGGTTGAGGAGGTATTTTACCAACACTCTTGTGATAAACCTCCTGAGGAGGGTACAGGACTGGCTCCCAGCAAGAGGGCTCAGTAATGGAAAGGTGTTTTGAATGGCTGCTCTGGCACATGTAGTTAGAAGCTTTCCCATTGTGTAAGGCTGCTTTTCACCCTGAAGACATCTCCAACCCCACCGTGGCCATGGGCTCCACAGCTTGGAAGACTAATAGAAGCATGTTCAGCATTTTCCCCCACAATGCTGGCCATGAGAACAAACATGCAGAGACCAGAGGCTTGTCAAGAAGTCCCTTCATTGCCTAGTAGATAGAATGATCAAGGGGAATAAAAGTTTCAACCTGGGGGCTTCTCCCCCTTATTGGCTGAGGAGAGAGAAGGAGATGGATGGAGGACATGTGAAGCACAGCCAATGCCCAAGGAGAGGTGCCTGTGTGTCTGCACCTGCGGGATGCACAAACAGCCCTAGGTTCAGTTTAGAAGAGGCACCTTCCTCACCTGACACTTAAACATTGCTGGTCTGTCCCTGTCTGCCTTTCCAAGTCCCTGAGCTTGTGGCTTCTTGTCCCTCAGGTCCCCTAGAAGGCAGCATTGAGCTTGCCTGCCAGTGAGCTGGGAGCTGGAGTTTGCTGGGGTGAGCCAGGTGCTGGTGCCAATGCCACAGCATTGGTCCTGCCAGGAATCCTCAGGAACTGCTCTGGGTACTACAATCACTACTGGGTCAGGCTATGTGGAGGAGAGGCTTGGTGGTGGGGTGGGTTGATGAGCTAGAACCCATGTCTCTTAAAGTACTGGGCTCGCCTAATTACACTGTTGACGTAGTAGTTGTCTCTGTCACATGGGTCTTCCTCGTAGACCAGGTGGTTGCCCATTTTTGCATGGTAGGTGCAGATTCCCCCTGGAAAAAAGTTAAGAAGGAGTTGTTATGGGCTTATAAGTAAGAAATAGAAGCAAACCTGGATCCTAAGCTTCCTTGGCACAGCCAACAGCTTGCCACGGTAAGCCTGTTGTGTTGCAGTGCCTCAACTTCTGCCTTCCCTGGTGGCTTCGGGTTGGTTGGTTTCTACCTTATTTATACACCTGCCAGCCATTTTGCTTGCAGGATGAACAGATAAGAGGATAACATGAGACCTGTTCACATTCGCTGTGCACAATGCCTTTTCCAGGGAAGCTAGGGAGGTCATGGATCTGGCCATTCCCCAGCGGTGGCACCGCCACTCAAAGTAGTGGCTCTCTGCAGGCATTTGTCACTGAATTCAAGGGGCACCTGCCAAGGCTGTGCCAGACACCTTTACAAGCTCTGCACTCCACGAGGGTGCATCTGTGTTGCTGTGGCAGGTCCCAGGCTGGGTTGGTTTCCCTCTGCTTCCTTCCACAGCAAAGCAGCCAAAGAGCTTGGCAGAGCCTCTCTTCTGCATGCAGAAACATGGAGACCCTGTGGATGGTGCTTTCAGCTGGGAGGCTGCATCTATATTCAGACCTCTTGCTGGTCTGCTGGTTTGGGACTGCCTCTACTAAACTAGAAAACTCTGTGGGTTTGGGTTAGGGTGTTGGTTGGTTGTTTGGTGTTTGTTTTTTTTTTTGGGGGAGGATGTTGGTGTTTTTTTGTTTGGTTGGTTTTGGTTGTTTTGTTCTGTTTTTGTATGAGATGATGTAAAATCTAACAGATTAATGCTCTTTTTCCCTTACAAGTGACAGCAACAAATGCACAGCACTGTCCTTTCCCAGTGTGTAGCCCATCAGGTACCTCTCAGCTGCCGGTCCCAGGTCCAGGTAGGGTGACTTGCCCGTACTTCATTAATTGCACGCACCAGGATAGTTGAGCACTGATTGATGTGTTCTTCACTGTCCCACACTCCAAAAGGCTGTTGGTGCCGGCCAAGCTAGAACAGTCAAGCAAGAAAATGAATTTCCCTCTGTACTTAAGCACCACTGTAGCTTTCCCTTCTTCTTTGTACTCCCAGGCTGTGGCACATGGAGGTGACCTTATTCAGGAAGACACTTAAGTGCAACCACTGATGCAGAGAGAACGCATTTAAGTGCTGTCTCAAACGCAGAGCAGTAATTTGAGAAGGCAAAGCCTTAGGATGCACACTCCATTGCTGCTCTGCTCCTCACCCCTGTCACTCTGATGTACCTGCATCAAGCCGTACTTGCGCCCATAGTGGTCCCAGCCGTTGTGCAGGAGCAGCCCGGCCCGGCTCTCCTGCGAGATGATGGCTGCGATCAGCGCGGGGTCCAGGCACAGGTTCCTGGCTACCCTCCTGATCGGCACCTCGTACTTCCTCAGGCGTATGACATCTGCCTCAGCAGTCCTCCGAACCATGGCGAGTCCTGCGGCTTAGGAAAAGGCAGATTGACACACCCCCCCTGGCCAAACCCCTTGCTTTCTTCTTGAGGGGGTGTATCAAGGGAGTAACTCGAGTTTTGAAGAAAGTGGAGCTACACCAGGTTGGGCAGTGAGTGGTGCTTGAGGGACAAGCACAGCCCCACTGGCTCTGGTGGTGGCCTTGGAGCTGCTGTGCCAGTACATGAGGATGATGAGGGGAAGATGGCAGGTTCTCAGGAAGTGGGGCCATGTGTCCATGGTCCTCTTTTGCTGCTGCACCTCTGGAAATGTAGCTCTGGAGCTGGGAAAGTGGAATTCCAGTTTGCATTTGAGAAAAGTGAGGAATGTGTTTGTTAGTAATGACCAGCCAAGCAGCAGGAACAGCTATGCTGTCACTCTATATAGAAGGTGGAGGGTTTTTGGAAGTAATTTTGGAACATTTTGGAAACAAGAAAGTGGGTTCAGATCCACGCTAAGATACCTGAAGTCAAGTTTTTCAAGGTGCCAATCTGAGAGGCCCTGGGGTTTTGTGAGGATGCTGATGCTAAAGTCCTGGCAGATGAAGAAGCCATTTGACTGAAAAGGGGTTGCACCATTTCCCTTTGCTTAGAGGCTGAGGATCTTGACTGTGGGACCTGAAGTTAGTCCTCCTTCTTCCCACCAGGTCTGGAGACTTCACAGCTCCTGTCATTTTTGGGTGAGAAGGTGTTGCTTTCCACCTCTTGGCTAACTGAACAGCTGCATCACAGCTAATTGGGAGATCTCTCTGTCAGGTACAAACAGGTTGACAAATCAAGCAATTAATGATACCTACCACAGTCTGGAGCTCTTACTGCTGTACAGGAGATCGTGGGGGCTTGAAGAGCACTTATATCACCATAGCAACTATAGCCCATCGATGGAGCTGAAAAATTAAATGGAGGTGTTTGAACACATAAGATCTCAGAGCATTGTTGTACAACATGCTGCGAGTACAAACATAAGAGATTCAGCCAGACCCATGACCCACATCACCTGGTGTTGGCCACTCTTGTATTCTTGCCACTGATCTCCATCAGCAACATTGTCAAAGAAAGCTAAGGAGCAGAAATATGTTTTCTGATTGGATAGGTTGAAGCAGGTGAAACTAGTGACAATTTATACAAACAGCTGTGTGCCCTGGTAGGTCTAAAATTTAGTTTGATAGAGAGAAACACAATGTCTGAATTTATTTCAGAGGGTTTTTCCCATTAAACACCCTCCAATGTCCACAGCCCCTCAGATGATGGCTGGTGGCATCCAAACACCCTGGCTGGGAAAGTCTGCTGTGTGCGTCCATAACTTGGTAAGGAATTAAGTCAGGAGAGTGCTTCAGCCTGGGCAAATTACCCTGCTCCCTCAGTAGCTGAGGACTTTATAGCCCCCACCAAACAGCCTGTGGCAATTGTGAGACCATTTCTGAGCAGACAGAGAGATCAAATAAGGTTAGCTGGGAAAATCAAGCAGAAGTATATCTGTGACTCCCTCTGGTGTCAGTTCTGTGCTCCAGACATGTTAGTTTAAAGGATGCAGGTGGAGGGGAAGCAGGCTCCAACAGCAGCCAAGGACCTCCAGCCACCCAGGGTTTCCCAGCACCCCACAGAGAGGGCACCTCAGGCCCGACTGCACGTCTCCTCTCCACAGTCCCTCTGCAAACCACTCCTGGGGTGCCTCTGACAGCAAACAGAACCCAAACCATGGCTCACCAACAAGGGCTGTGAGGCCCAGCACGAGCAGTGCGGGGATCATGGTGATGGCTCTTCTCAGCTGCCCCAGGGCACCTGGAAACACAGCAGTTTGCAAAACATGAAGGAATCAATTAGTGCTGATTTTCATCAGCCCTGTAGCAAAGTTTGCATGCCAAAAGCTACCACCCTGAGGCCCTGGATGGGGATGGCAGTGGCTGAAGATGGGTCAGGGAGCAGAGGCACCCTCTCCACAGCACATTTTCCCACTCGCCCCCAGCACAGGATGCAGCTGCCAGCTTCAGAGAGGGGTGGTGGGAGAAGTAAGTGATAGGAGCCACATCTGTTCCTTATTTCCCCCCATGTCTGGGGGATACAGGCTTTTCCTGCAGCTGAATGTCTCCTCCATCTCATAGTGTCACACTGAGACAGAAGGGCTGATCCTGGGGAGTAGGGAGGTCCCCACCGGCAACCTGGGCCAGCAGAGACTTTTCATCCCCTGTCACTGCATATCACTTACTCATGTGGTCCCTTCTGAACACCCCTAGCATGGCTTTATGATGAGAAGGTACTTGCTTTAATTCTATAGGTGCCTGAAGTCTGATGTGCTACAAAATGCATGCATCCTTTGGCTCTCTGTTCAAAAGGCAATGGGATTTTTTCTTGGCTTTTGGAATAATGTGTTACCAAAAAATCAAGCAATTTGAGCCTCTCTGCTAAGAGCAGACAAGGTAAAGATTTTGTTAGTGAAATAACACTTCTGCATGAATTTATCTGTGTGATGATGCCAGACAATCACTTTAGTAATTAAATATGTCTGTTGTGTTTATTCATAAAATCCTAAAATGTCATGAGCTAGTAGCTATCAACTGTAAAAAAAAACGTTGTACTGCCCTTTCTGGTGAGTACACTTAAACTGAGCATTTTTTGTGGTTTACAAATGTTTCTTTTTCCTCAAGAGGGTTTCAAATAAGGACACACAGCGCGAGTCTTGTAGGCAATCATCATGCATCGCTATTAACACTTGAAAATGCCTTATTGATTATAATAATGTTGACCTTTTCTCTAGTCTGTGTTTCTACTGCAAAACAAAACTGCATGGATGCACAAATGCTAACAGTTCATTGGTGTCATCAGAAAGACTCCCTTGTCCTGAGTGTGCTTATTCAGGCAGCAAACACTTCCCAGCTTGAGCTCTAACAGTATTTGCAAGCCTGGATCAACATAGCTTGACTCAATAACTATTCATTCAATGAGAAATCCATGCAGGCCTCAGCAAAAGGTACAGGTTGTGGCTGTTTCCACTGGAAAATTTCCATGTTATCATGTTTTATCAGCCGTTTTTTTCCACTCCCATCACTAAAATCACCACAATCCTTAAGTAGAAAGAGCATAACAATCACAATATTCACAAAACACTAAATCAAAGTAAAATCAAGGTTTCTGGCTCTAAATAAATATTCTATGAGTGAATTCAGACTCACCTGTCTTCAATCTGCCTTCCTGTCAGGCAGGTCACTTGATGTCTTTTATATATATGTGTATGAAAAGGTACCCACCCTATGGACTTTGGAATGTTAATTCCTACCTAGAGTGATGACATTTGTTTTAAAGTACAATAAGTAATATATATTAAGAGCTTAGAACTCTTAAAATCCCTTTCATCCAAAGATTTGCACAAGCAGCAGTTAACAAGACCTAGGACAATTCTGTGAAAGGAAATAAATACTGGTTTTCATCCACCAATAAGAACGTTGATGCACAATAAATGACTTGCAGGAAGCATCACAGTGAATCAGTGGCAGAGGCCAGGCAAAAGTCAGATCTGTCTCTAGTTCTCTCTTTGCTTTACATCTCAGATCAGTATGGACACGCTTCTGGAAAGGTTTTAGTCTTGTTACCTCAGTGATTTCTGTGTCATGTGCTCTAGGTGACCCTGCTCTGGCAGGGTTGGTTGGACTAGATGATCTTCTGACGTCCCTTCCAACTCTTAAGATTCTGTGATCCTGTGATTACCTGGATCCTCCTTTGGACCCTTCTTGTAGATGGGGGTGACAATAGCCTTTCTTCAGGGACATCTCCCGATCTCCACAACTTCTCAAAGATTATGGAGAGTAGCTTTGCAATGAGTGGCTTTACAGCTCTCTCAGCACCCTAGGGTGGATGGCACCTGGGCCCTCAGTTTCTTCTTGTTGCAATTGTACCTGAAGAAGCCTTTCTTGAAGTTTTGGACATCTTTGGGCAATGTCATATCAAACTGAGCTTTTGCTTTCCTAACTGCAACTCTGCATAGCCTGGCAATGCCCGTATAGGCAAAGGATGAGCTAGAAGGCATCTTAGTGATTAAACTAGCTCTTTCTAAATGGCTGGACTTTATAAAGATATCCCCAGGAATGCACTGCACTGATGTCCCTGAGAAATGTTACCTTTTCTCATAACACCACTGTACCTCTTTTTACATTTTTCTTTATTATTCTTGGTATTTTATTTAGAAGCACAGGTTTAAGATTCATATGATATTGCGAGACTCTCATTTAGGACAGCAAGTTTGTAGCCCCCATGCCTGGTAGCAGGGAACATGTATGAAAAGCATAGAAATATTACGTTATTATGAAATTGATATGAAATAAAAAGGACCTCAATGTTAAAATAATTTAAAAAAGCCAAAGCACTCCGTAATTTTAAACTCTTTTTGCTGTAGTGTAATTTTTAAATGTAAAAGATAGCAGTACATACTCCCTGTGTGCTGGATTTTGGTCAGCACAGTGTGTGATTGGGAGGGAGAGGATGGAAAGTCAGGGAAAGAGGAGTTCACTTATCAAAGGGTATCTGCATCTTCTTAAACTGAAGAACCAGGAAACCTTCCTGATGTTCACAGAGACATCTGGCAATAAGCTGCAGTCAGTGACCACAGACAGGGTTTCCTCGTGGTAATTGCTGACAGTTTGTTACACAGAGTAGGTACAAAATGCTACCTGACAGAACAGCCTTTTCCACTGGTTTTTAATAAGCTAGAAAGGAGCACACCTGAGATCTAAAGCACACCAAGGCTCAATACCACCAGTTCTTTCCTAATTACAGATTTTAACTTTTTTTTTTTTTTTTTTTTTTTTTTTTTCTGTCTCTCTCGTGCCAAGTGATCTACCAGGGTGAGGTGATTGTTTTTTGTTTTTTTTTTCATTCCATTTTGTGGAGATGCATTCAAAATGGAACATAATTTTGAAAAGCATTATTCATTGCACATGCCATTCTCCTTCAGGCTGCAGGTTATAGCATCATGTTTCACTGGGTGGTGAGAATACTATCTAAAATGACCTGGAACAATACCAATACTAATTACTGTTTCTGTTGTGAGTTTCAACTCTGGTTTCATAACATCAGCAGACAGATGCATTTCTTAGGTTGTTCCTTTTGTCTGGGATGTAATTATAGGTATTCACAGATTTTATAACTGCTTTATGGGGAAGCTGCCCACTACAGCTGACGCATGCTTGATGTTTACCCCTCACTGGCCAGTTTAAAGATACATTTGTAACATAATCTCAAACAAATCCTCTAGAGCTGTCTTTCCCAACTTTTAAAGGGCTACAGCCAGTTTAATAGTTACATTCCCATAGATTTTCTTTTCTGCATCTAGTATACCTGTCAGTAACAATAGCAAACACCTTCAGACTTGTAAGACATGAGGTGCAGTTTTCACTGTGTTCAGAAGTGAGCAGGTTCTTCTTCTATCATGTCTTTCTGAAGAATGTGGGTGGGAATTGATATGACATCCCACTCTGCACAAAGCATCCCTCTAGCCGTCATGTAAAGTTTCTAAGACCAGAAGGATTGATGAGGGAGGAAAAGAGTATTTTCCTTCTGTTCTCTAAAATGAGACTTTGAATTTTACTGTAGGAAAGGTGTTCTAGCAAAGAGGTAACTGGGACTGGATCTTAGTAAGTTCACATCCCAGCTTAAAGACAGAGCTATCACTTAAAGCCAGTCATTTTAAGTTCAACACAGGAGGGGGTTTATGCTCTTAAAGCACAGATCAAAACACTGTCTTACTCCAAAACTGTGTCCTAAGCATGCAGCTGAAATGTACTTCTGCTCTTGTTTGAGTATAAAGTGGAGCAGCTGGAGGAGCTTGGTACTTAAGTCCCAAAGTCTGGTTCTGGACTCTGCATCCCAATGCCAGAATCTCTGGGTGACTGCAAGTGTACAGTGCACACTCATGCATCCACTGCCAAAAAGTGGCTGTCATGCCTACTTTGTTTAAACCAGCCATGGCAGAACAAGACCAGTCTTGGAAGACAACCTCACAAAGGCAGAGCCCTACACTAACCTCCCTTCTGTGGAAAGCACTTATGCCCCTTCACTAAGATTGGGTGCATGTGTGTTCATTCTTCAGCCTGATGAGGTTTTGTTACTGCACAGCAGAGAACACCAGAGCCACAGGGGAAGATGGTGGGAAGACAAGAGAATGGTCCTATAGCCTCTGCAGGGACACAGCTTCACATTCCTGAGACTGCCTCAGTGTTTCCTATTGGATACAAGGGAATAAAACCCCAAACAACACAGTATTTGGTAGTGAGTGGGGAAAATACACAAAACACTGAGAATAGGGAGGAGAACCCTATTTCCTCCCAAATCCATAAGCTAGAAAGCAACATTTTCTCTTATTCCCTTTCCAGTCCCACAAGCCTAACACTGTGTTCTACAAAGCTTCAGAAGTGAGGGTGGAGATGAATGCTGCACCTGGGTAAAAGACTTTGTAGTCACACACTCTGGTGAAACATTTTGTAGTCACCCACTTTGGCAGCACTGATCAGCTTGCTGGATGCCAGGGATCCTGCTCTGGGCACGACCTGCAGGAGAGGAAACTGACACACCTAATCCCAAAATCAGGATTCCAGGAAGTGACTGAAACTAGATACTGGAGCACCTAATTCTTGATGTTCCTAGGTGCTCCAGGAGAGCTAGTCTCCTTTTAGTTTCCCACATACACAATGAGGGTAGGGCATTCATGACTCACAGAGATGTCAAACTAACACCCATCAATAATTAATTATTAACTGTACCCATTAATAATTATAACTATTAAGAGCCTGTGTGCCTGGAATTCATGATACAAAGCATTAAGGACATTCTTGAAACCAAGCAGGAAACTATTTCAGACTTTTTTTCTAGGGCAGCACATTAACAAAAGGAACAATTAGCAAGGAGGAGGAAGACCAGGAAAGGAATTAATGTGGCTTTGTGTATTACAATCACCTGATTCTCATACTGTATCATCTTGGGAAAAGCCAATGGTTACTGGAGATTGCATGGTTTGTGAAGCAGATGAATTAATTTTTAAACCTTTTTTTATAAGAGTCACATGTTGAAGTCATACCACTAGGCAGATGATACCTGAACAGCTTGTGTTCAATAAGGCAAAGCATATTAGCACAGATTCAATACTGCGCTGGCACAGCCACATGGCTCCTGGATCAGTGGTGGTTTATTGGAATCTCTAAAAGCAAGTTTTCTGAACTACTCCCTTTTCACCTTTCCATCAACAAGCATAAAATATCTCTCAGTGTACATGCACTTACAATTAATCCACCCAATTTGAACAAGACTTTTTTGGGTGATGCTCTCGCCTCATACCTACTGCTTTAGACAGTTTGATGTGTTATCTTAAATTGATGAAGAAGGTATGGGCATATATTCTCTTTTGCAGCATATGATACAGAATTATGCTCTCCAAGGGCATGGATAACAAGGAGCATCTGGGAGACTGGAATGTCTTGGATCTCCACCATCATATTAGACAGGCTTAACACTGAAGGCTCCAAAGCACAATTCAAGAAAGATCAGAGTAGAGCTTCAGAGCAGTAATTGGCTCAAATGTGGTAGAACCTATCTATCTATTTATCCTTTAGAGGGGGCTCAAGGGCAACTTCCCTCTTGGAACAGTTCCAAAATACTCCACTGTAACAAGTACCCTCCACTTCCAGTTTCTAGGGAGGCTTTCCTTAAACTCTGGCACGTAACTCTCACTCTCGAATTGTCAGATACAACTGTTCTAAAGAGACAGCTCAACCTGCTACTAACAGAGCTTTCCTTTCAAAAAGTGGGAGTACACAGCTATTGAATATGCAACAACTACAAAATGTTGTATTATTTCTGCATCAGCTTCTGCTTCCTTGTTTCTTTGTGCAAGAGACAAAACAACAGCATCCCTCACACTGGGCTGGGGAGACTGGCTTTACTCTTACATGGAAAAGGCTTGTTTTAGAAACTGAACTGTTCAAAGCTCCAATTTTCTATAAAGATTTCTGTAGAAAGTATTCCTTTTAGAATTTTGCTACAGGAAACAGGACCATGTGGATCCCTTGTGTGGATCCCTTGTGTGGATCCCAGTCAAGTCCACACAATCTAGCATGAAGACCTGCCCAAAACAGCTCACTTGGTTATTGTCTCCATGCATTTCTTTAATGATTACTTCATGCAAGCATCAAGCATGGACTTGAGCACTAATTGTGATGAAAGTTACATGCTGAGTTCATGCATAAGCCCTGCAACTTCAAAATATATACATGAACATTTCTCACCTCTTTACTGTATAATCCCCATTCATGGCTAATACAAACCACACCAGCTGTGATTAGTCTAGGCTCAGGAACGTTATTTAGTCATGCCCTTATATTTGTGATCTGCTGTAAGCAAATGATTACATGGAGCCTGCATCCTTTCTAGCTATTGTGTATCATCATCTTCTCATCTACCACCCATATTGCCACTACAAGGCTGTTGACAAAGTCAAGCTTTGTGCTTTTCAAGTCTGTAGAGTCGACATTTGAGTTTATGTTCTCTGTATTGTTTACACTTCTAGGTTGCTGACACAGGTCTTGCCATTATGGACACTTCGTCATTTAATCTGCACTGCAAAATCACTGAGCTTTACTGTAGAAGAATAATTTGTTCTTCACTACTCAAACTAGAAAAAATGTCTGGTTCTTAAAGCATCTTTAAGTTTAAACTAAGAAAGTTCTTGGATTGTTCATCTCACATAAAGAATGGATATCTTGCAGAGAGGACAATTCAATGACAGTTTTAATCTTCATTCAAGACAAAAAATGCAGAAAGCAGACAAGAAATTAAAGACATGAAGCAGACAGATCTATGAGGCTGCTACTTCAAAAAAAATGTTAACTTCTTAGGACAGTCTCAACTTGCCCTTTTATCCAAACCACACATTCCTGCAAACTCCTTGTGCCAGCACTTAAATGCGTGTGGCTGTAAAGGAAGAGGTCCAACTGAAGATTAACCTAGAAAAAAAGTCAGCAGCTTAAAGTGACAGGAAACCACAGAATGACTAGGATTTGCATTGAGTTTGTAATAGGGCTATTGACACATGGAACTGAATAACCTCTAACAACACACCACGCCAGAATCCTGACAAGCCCACATGTGCTTCCATACAGCACACAACTGTGTTTCACATGGTTCTGTATTTCCACAGCCTATTCAACATAACTAGGACTCAAAGCTCAGTCTTTCTAAGGCACTTTAAAAATAATGTTGGAACATCGGTTTTCTAAATTAAATGTCATGCAACTGGATGGGAAAAAAAAGTGCACTTTCTAGTGCATTTCCAGAGTTTCTGTATTAAAAAGGAGATCAACTCAAAGCAAGTCGACATTATGCTTCTAGTAGATTAACAGGCAGCTGTGTACATCTTAAGCTGATTGTGTCATCACTTTGAGAAGGCAATGTTGGAACTGAAAGCAGTTTGCTAGAAGTCTAGAAAGACCACATGCAACTCTGTGATGGAGCTCATGAAAAGAAAAAAACAAACCAACCAACAGGACCACCTTATTTGAAAGGATGCAAAAGTCAACATTAGAATTAAAATAATTTTATTTCAGTGTACATGAACGGAAAAGAAAATAACATTTTTAAAACTTAGAGATGTATTGCTGGGCTGGTCCAATCACAAGTGTTCTCCATTACAAGGCAGCAAGACTGCCTAGATCCACTTCACTACTTTTTAGACCAACTGGATTCAAAGTACCACCTCAAAAGGGTCCCTCAGCACACAGCAAACTTTTTTTTTTAAAGAAAAAAACCCACAACCTCATCAACTCTTCACCTAGCCAGAAATTTTACATTATGTTCCAAGGAAGATAGCCCTTGAAAATTCTGTCCATTACTGAAGAACCGTACACAGTGCTATATCTAAGCTTAACAAATCAAGGTTTCTCCCAAATACTTTTCTCTATTCTACTCTCTTGTACAAAGCATCTGCTATAAAATCCACACATTCAAAACCACAGAATTATACAAACCAGTGAACAGGGCTGTTTTTACTACACCTGTTGCCATGCGCGATTACCTGCTGCACCAGCTATAACATGCAATGTACATAGATGGTAGAAGGGCATTTCTCTTGACCATCTATTTCAGAATTCACAGAAGTTACGACTGTTTTTTACAGCTTATAGTGCAACGAAGTTAAGTTATTCATTATCATGATATGGCACCATAAGATAAGCAATCATTTGTTAAAATGCACAAATTCTTCCCTAATAATTTTCTGGTGCTTTACTGATAAGTAATAATAAATTCTGAAAGATAACCAGAAAAAGGAACTGATAATGAAAAATATTTTAAAAGTGTCTAGCGTATCCAAGGAAGAAAACTAGGAAAAAACCCTGGAACTATCAGATTCAAAGAAAACAATGAGAAATAGTTCTTTACACAACACAGTTAAACTGTAGACTCCTTGCCAAATGATTTATGTTACTCCTCAGTAAGTTTGCAGACACCAAGCCGGGCTAGAGTGTTGATCTGCTTGAGGGTAGGGAGGCTCTGCAGAGGGACTTAGCCAGACTGGATTGATGGGCTGAGGCCAACTGTCTGAGGTTCAACAAGGCCAAGTGCCAGGTCCTGCAACTGGGCCACAACAGGCTGGGGGAAGAGTAGCTGGAAAGCTGTCCAGCAGAAAGGGACCTGCGGGTGCTGATCGACAAGCAGCCGAACATGAGCCAGCAGTATGCCCAGATGGTTAAGAAGGTCAACAGAATCCTGGTTTGTATTAAAAATAGTGTGGCCAGCATGTAGGGAAGTGATTCTCCCCCTTTACTCAGCACTGGTGAAGCTGCAACTTGAGAACAGTGTTTGGTTCCAGGCAGCTCAATACAAAAAAGACACTGAGGTGCTGGAGCAGGTGCAGTGACAAGCAACTAGGCTGGTGAGAGGCCTAGAGTACAAGTCATATGAGAAGTGGCTGAGGGAATTAGGGCTATTTAGCCTGAAGCCAAGGAGGCTGAGGGGAGACCACAGCATCCTCTGTAACTACCTGAAAGGACTTGGTTGAGAGGTAGGCACTGGCCTCTTCTCACAAGTAAATAGTGATCGGACAAGAGGGGATGGCCTTAAGCTACACTAGGGGAGGTCTAGGCTGGACATGATGAAAAAAATTTTCTCTGAAAGGGTTTTCAGACACTGGAACAGGCTGCCCAGAGAGATGGTTGAGTCACCATCCCTGGATGTGTTTTAAAGTCATACAGATGTAGCGCTTGGGGATATGGTTTAGGGGTCAACATGGTAGAGTAGGGTTAAAGGTTGGACTTGATCTTAAAGGTCTTTTCCAACTGAAATGATTCCATCATTCTTTGTGGATGCTATAATACTATGAAATGTAGAGATTTTTTTACCCAGAAAATGCTCTCAGATAGAGAGTTCCCCAAGCCACAGGTTGCTTAAAGTACATTCTTGGGAAGCACTGTTAACTGCTCACCCTGTTTTTACTCTTCCTTAGAATCTGCTTTTAGCCATTGAGACTGGATGCTGGGCCAGAGGGACCTTTGGTCTGATTTGGTACAATTATTTCTAACAGTTACTTCAAAACACTTAATAAACTTATACTTAAGACATAGTTCATCATTTGCCATGTTATTCAGTTCGAAGGACTCAATTTTTTAATTACAAACGGCTTCCAAAAGAGAGAAAAAAACAAACCAAAACTATTTTCTGCTATGACTCAGCTGTATAAAACTGTATAGAAAAATGAGCATTATGTGCAGATGTAATGAAAAGCAGTAAGCTTTATAAAAAACATTCTTAGAAATGTACCAAGCATAAACAAAAGATGATTTACAAATACATTTATCTGTCCTTCTAGTCATCATCAGAATCTGAGTCGTATTTCTTTCCTCTGATAGTCTTCTTATCCAATTTTGTAAAGGTTGTTCCATATTTCTTTTGACTTTGAAAAGGTGGGTCCATCAAATTTCCACTGGAGGAAGAGAGTAAGACATGTTCATTAAAGCTGTCAGTAAGTAGCATCTCTAATTATCTGTTTCTCCAGAAAAACTTTTTAAGAGAACACAACCCCTGCTCCCTAAAGCCACCCTATACAGCATTGTCGTGTTGCCAGCACAGCACATCCTGAAAACAGCCTGGATAACTGTAGTTAAGACAGAGCTGTAAGTGTAAACAGCACCTGTGAGCGGAGCTCTATGGAAAAACTCTATGGAAGGGCTTTTCCTGCAAACTGATCATGCTAAATCTGTCAGATTAAACAGTAACCAGGGAATTACAGAGAGACTTTTCAAAACAAATGAGGAGCCCGAAGTACAAAACAAGCCTAAATTTTCTCACAGGGACATTAAAGTAGAAATAGATAATCTGGGTTTTGTACTGCCACATCACATTGTACTATCCTCGGCTAGGCCAAACAGAGCAGTTTCCTGGTTGGACACTGCACTCCAGCTAGTGAACTATGGAGGCACTCACACCTCAGTGCACGTGCGTGGCTCTGTGGAGACTTGTCACCAGCTTGTGGGTTGACAGGTTGTTTGGAACAGCAGGTGTTCACATAAAGCAGGAGCACCCTCATATCCCACAGTGGGGGTACACAAGGACAGCAACTCCCTCCTCTTGCTCTGACAAAGGTTTGCATGTTTTCACTCACATGACCTGTGAGGGGTTCACATCTAAGTGTCAGTGAGCAATTAGAACCTTCTGGAATTAGCTACAGAAGGGTGCTTAGAAATTTGTAGGCATTAACATTTTGTAAATAACATTTTGCTGATACTGATCATGGATTCAGTTCAGGGAATTTGCAGATACTGATCAGCTGATACAGTTCACTGATTGCTAGTTAATTACATGTCAGTACTAAGTCAATACACCACTTCAATCCTGATTTAGGTCAAACAATGTGACCTGACCAGTTTTTCTGCTGAATACAGTATAATCTGTCATCATCTGCTATCCCACAGCTTGAAGGAAAATAACACTTTCTAGGCTCTGAGAAGGACTATGTCCTTTTCAGGATCTCCAGAGAGTGGGTCATTACATTCAGAGCAGTGTGGAAACGCAACACTTGTACATAAATGGATGTCTCCTGGAATGAACCTCCTGGGTTGTGCAGATACTGTGGCTCACTTTGCAAAGCCAGGGTACCTAAACTCAGGATCTGGCAAAACGAATGAAGAATAAAAAACCTCCCCCACTCCTTAAGGAGCTAAGAGTCAAATGCACAGTACGAGCAGTGTCAAGTAGGCAGTAAAAATATGCCATAAACCAATTTACTAACATTTAGTAAATTCAATGCACCTCAATACACTCATTGCCACTGAAAGACTTCTCCAATAAGAGCCTGCTGCTGCCTACAATATATATCCAAGCTGTCTTCAATTCCTCTGCATATTTGATTGTTACTGGCCTGGGACATGCGTATTACCACGTTTTGAACTACAATTTTTCAGTTCAGTCATTTAATCTGAAGTTCAACAGCTACTAAACTAAAATGAACAGAATTTTCTTTGCCTTTAAGATATAACGATACCTCTTGCCAAAATCTGAACATTATATGTTGAAATAAATTCAGATAATGAAGTTGAAAAAAAATAATAAAATCAAAGCCATTCAAAGCAAAAGAGCAAAATTAATCTAAAAATACAAAGATGACCTTGTAGCCACACTGGAAAGCAAAGCAGAAAGTTCTGGTAAATTATTCTCCTGTAATATTAGGCTATTGTGGTGACAGTTATCTCCTACTGCCTTCTATCCTGTAGTCTTAATGTGGGATTTATAATTATTGCATTATACTTGGTAACCCAGGATACGAATACAGGCTTGGAGAAGTCATTCTTGAGAGCAGCCCTATGGGAAAGGACCTGGGGGTACTAGTGGATCAAAAGCCATGAGCCACCGATGTGCAGTTGCAGCCCAGGCGGCCAACTCCATCCTGGGCTGTATCAAAAAAAGTGTGGCCAGCAGATTGAGAGGGGTGATTTTGCCCCTCTACTCTGCCCTGGTGAGACCTCACCTAGAATACTGCATCCAGCTCTGGTGCCCCCAGCACAAGAAAGATTTGGACCTGTTAGAACGTGTCCAGAGAAGGGCCACAGCAATGATCTGAGGGCTGGAGCACCTCTCTTATGAGGACAAGCTGAGGGAGTTAGGGCCATTCAGACTGAAGAAGAGAAGGCTCTGGGGGGACTTCACAGTGGCCTTACAGTACGTGAAGGGGTGTCTTAAGTATACGACATATCAAAGCTACCAACTTTTACAGGTTCTCCTGTCTGCACATGTGTTCTTGCACTGTATCTGAAAACAAAACAACCACAAAACAATTAATTACCTGTAATTAATTACATCTGCACAGCCTAATCTCCATTCTAAGGTCTCTGTAGTGAAGTCATCAGTGTTACCAAGATCAGTAAAGCCCACAATGTAGTCTTGTGTTTTTCCATCTTTTAGTAGCGCTAGAGTGGGAATTACTTTGATGCGCAGTCTCTCGCATAAGAAAGGAGATTTTTCAGCATTTAATTTCAAGAACTTTGTCTCAACATGCTTTTTGGCCAAGACAGTCAAATGTTTGTCCATTATTTGGCACCTGTGAAAAAAATCCCAAAGGATAAAATGTTAGAGGCAATAACCTGAAGAGTGTGTGTTTTACAGAATATGTAAAATGAACAGTAAAGAGCTAGTTCTGTCATGTTAATTCCTCAGATATTACCTTTGTAATTAAGAATATAGTTTTCAAAGGTAACTGGATTCAATGCCTAATAGAGTAACAGCCTGGAGTAAATTTATTGCACAATTACACCATCCATTTCTCTTATTTCTTCCCAATTACTCTGACATACACCTGAAAGCCTCTCTTATTTCTTGAGGCCTGCATTTATTGATGACATTTTCCTCTGATTTTTATTCTTCCTGCTCTAGCTTCACTGCCTTTTAGCTGGAAAACAGTCTCTATAATGAACTGCACATCTTCAGAAAAGTACTCTCAACATGTTACATGCTTTTTTTGTGCAGTCGCTACCTCCACAACTCACTGTACACAAAAAAACCCAATAATTATTCACACAAACTGCTTCAGTAGTGCTATAAGCAAAAATATTTCACTTTTCTGTTGAAACCAATAGAAGTGAACATACAATTATTGTTCCTCAGCTAAGGGACAGGAAAACGAACTGCTCAAAATACTGGACAGATGGCAGAGATCTGTGGGTTTGTCACCTGCAATCTCAACTTCCTGGATTGTCTTAAGTGGTTTGGCTTAGCTGCATGAACTCTGTGATGTGACTGTCCTTTAATTCAAAAGCAAGGCCAAGCAGATAAAAAATCTCGAGTGGGTAAGAATAAAAGCAACTTGATAATGTGGTTGGTAAACTGGACACACTAGCTTCAAGCTGGTTGTGAGCATGACACATTTTACAAATAACTTTTGAGAAAGTTCTTTCTCTTGCCTGAGTCTAAACACTTTGTTGGTTCATTAAACAGGAACTAAACAACCCAAACCTGTTTAAAGCTACTGTATTTGCAGAGAGAGTCTTTCAACTTCTTTGCATAAAAGCTAGCCAAACACAACCTCTGGTGTTTCTGAAACTTAAACACTTATCTTAGAAAACCTAGGATGCTGATGCCTCCCTGCATAATCCAGCTTTGACCCCTTTCAGTTTCTCATATGGAGGCTGTGTCAGTTTATATTCTATAAATTAGAGAGAACATAACACCTTGGGGGGTGGAACCCAACAAACAAACCAAAAACAGGGCAAGTGGCTCCTCCTGCTCTACTTCGCAACTGCATTTTAACAGAAGACATCAAGACAGACCCACTGAGGAACAGCCTACAACCCACAACTTCTGAAATCCTTCCAAGGAAGTGGGAGATCTTATTTTAGGCTCCTATTTTAAGAGTCAGGACTTATTCTCAGATCTAGGTCTCTCACACCCTAAAAGGTGACATAATCACAAAGGCATGGGCACAAAGGGAAATCGGCTGCAACTGGTATACACAGATCCTTTCAAAGTAAAAGGTTAAATTCTGAAGATGCCTAGACAAGTTTCTGCTTGTATTTTTATTTTAGTTTGCTAGAATGGTCCAGGATCTCTCTCTCTGTAATAGCTAAAGTGATCTTGAAATGCTGCTCTGTATGGTCACTACGTTTACCGACCTGGCTCACTCAAACTGAATCAATAACGAAACACAGCACTCTCTCAAATACTGTCAAACTAGTTATATATTTATATTCTAATCAACTATGTAAGGGAGCACTAATTGTTGTCAAATCATGTTCAGATTAACTGAAATGGAAAAAATATTTTAAAAATCAAATATCTTGAAAAGAGTGTGAGATTCAGAAAATGAAGGAATTCAAATACTTGTAAAAATCTATTTATTTGTGGGATGTGAAAGAACAAAAGAACAGGTCTGGTTTTGTAGACATCTATAAACAAAAGGTTTCCTGAGCACAGCTTATTTACTATACCTGAATGTTGTATCTCTGTAGAAATGGCAAACCACGTTTCTACTCTCTTTGACTTCTTGGAAAAAGTCTCTCTCACTTGGGACCTCTCTGTATTCTCCATGTCCTTTTGATAGCCACTCCTTTTGGAAAACATAAAAAAGAAATAATTAGCATGGAGTTTGTTAGTCCTGCACCTATACATTCTAAAAAAAATAAAACAGGGAGCCTGCAATGGAAACCCCCTTCATATAGTAACAGAAGGAGCTGCATAAATTTCTGCAGTGCAGCCCCTCAGTAAGACTAGACTAGTTCAGCGAGAACACCAACAGAAGAAAATACTCAGCATTTGAAAACTGCTAATTGACAGCTTGGGACACTCCCTCTAAAATGTTTTTGTACACTCAAAAGAACTCTTGTCTAAAACTGCTTCAAGTCATTACATAGACTAAAACAGATTTCTCCTAATTTTTCCCTCTGTGAAAATAACTTCCCTCTATGAAAAGAACAGGGAGAAAAAAAGCGGTGTAACTCACCTGCAACAGATCGTTTATCTAGCAAACATACACTGAAGGTATCTTAATATGACCCAGGCTTCCAGAAAACCATTCAGAAAACACACACATCCATTAGTCATTAAGTGTATGGGGAACCAGGATTTTTCAAGCTAAAATTTACAGGCAACTGGAAAAACTGTCTGATTAAGTGTGCAAATACAGTTTGGGAAAAAAGCTAATCTTATAGATTTTCAACTAATGCGCTTAAGAAAAAAAACCCAGCTTCCACAACACTGAAAGTTAATTGTGGTGTATTAAAACAACTACAGACTAAGCCAAATGATTAGAAGTAGTGCAGTATGACAGAACTTGCCACAAAACTTCAGTTTCCAGTGGGGAGAAAAACAAATTAGAAATATCACTGTTCTTGATCTTGCAGTTTTATCTTAGGAGAGTGAAGAAAAAAAAAGTTTCCAAGCAAACAAAAAAATATCCTGTAAGTTAATTAGGATAGAACAAATAATTTCCTGGACATTGTACACATTAAAAATGGATAGAAGCATGGGCACATGAAGAAGAAGAAATCATGACTGCAAATCAAGAACCAACTTTTCCTTCAACAGTGAGTATGCATTAATTCCCCTCTGCACAAACCTATTTCAGAATAGTGTGATTGCACATTTGCATTTGAAAACGCATGAGAACAGTGACTTAAGGTTAACTGACATGAAAAAGTTTTCACAGCAGAATTATTACACGTTCACATCCAAGAACATCCAAGTGTTACCACTTGTTAAAAAGGAAAACACTACAATCAAACATTAACTGAATTTTTAAAGACAAGCAAATGGTGTGACACACTCTCTACTTCTATGTTTAGAGAATCAAATCTGCTAAGACTGCCTGTCCTCCAGCATTCCAACCATGCCATTTTACTGCATCCCACTTCAAAGTATGGCACTAGCTTTTATGGGTCCCACCACAGCCAGAACACTTCCTTTCAACCCAGCCACCTCTCCCACAATCCAGTCTATTTCTTTTGCTTATGTGGAGTATGCTAAGAAAGTGGGCTTCCCTACTTAAAATCCAGGTGTCACACCATATGTTAGCAACATTTTGGTGAGAACTATGTTCAAAGAAACTTCCTGGGGAACATAAAGACCCCAACTTAACATGAGGTATTGGGGAACAAAGCAGAATTTATTTCCTGCAAGAAGAAATGAGCAGTCATACAAAGACAACATTTCACTAGGTTAGAAGGAATGGGACAAACTATTCCATCCTAAGAACAAAAGACTCTGTTATCATTCTTCCACAAAATACCTTGAGAGCATGCACCACTTACATGCCATAAGTAACAATCTCCAGAATTCAGAAGCTTAAGGGGCCTAAAAGCTTATAATTAGGTTGCCTAGTAGGCTTATGCTTCCAGGGAGCCATGTTCAGTGAATACTGACACACTCAAACCTCCATACAAGACTCTTTATCCTATCCTGATTGTAAACAATCAAGCAGAGAGTTCTTCTCTCCTCCTGTTAAAAACCAAAAAGCACACACATGTGGACAGACACTCGCTTTCCAGTGAAATGAAAAATTTGTAAGTACAGAAAGGTGAGGAAGGAGAAAAAACAAACCAAACAACCCCAAAACCCTTAGTTCACATAAACAACTTCCCTAGGATTTCCAAAAAGACTGTTCCACTGTATACATCAATAGCCTATATCAGCACAGGAGTTACCTGTTTCTGCTGCTGAGCTTTTTTTAGTGCTTCAAGCCTCCTTTGCTTAAGGCACTCCAATTCATCTTCATCCATTTGGTCCAGCTTCTGCATTTCAGCATCCAGATGTTCTTCCACAACTTTGGCTGTCTGAAGTATTTCATTCTCCAGAACTTTCTGAAGTATTTCAACAGAGGTATCAGCAGCCATCTTTAACTAGAAAGTGATGTCTTTGGAGCTGCAGAAATAGTGATACATGGAATTAACATTTACACAAACAATTATTCTTTCTTATTCTTATTTCCTACTTGCAGTTCACACTGTGGAGAAACAAAGTGCTATGCTACCTGAAGATAACAGTAGCTAGTTCTTTTCTATATTGCAGTCACCTTACACATAAGGTAAGCCATACTTACAGAATGGGCCCAGATGGCAACAAAGATACCAGTCAAGTCCTGTTCTTTCAATACCAAAGGCAGCTGTTGTAAAGTGCATAGGAACCTGAAATTACTTGTCAAAATAAAGACGTAAAATTGACCAGTTCCAAAGGAACACTCACCCTGAGCCAGATCCATGTGCTTTTAATAAATATTCTGAAGCTATAAAATACAATCAGAAAGCTCCAAACTGCTGGGAGGAGATATAAGCTGTCTCAGAATAAGTCTAAGCAATGCTCAGTATATAAGTTTTATGCCAGTAGTTTAAATGCAATTACTTTAAGTACCTGATGTATATTAACATATTTAAATCTCAATTAACATGCCTCTCCTCAGCTAAATGAAAGACAAAGTACTCAAAAGCAAATGCTTTAGGCCAATACACTGTTTCAAATCATATAAGAAAAATGCTGTTGCAAACACCACCCTATGGCAGCCAGCAGAAGGACTGAAAACAGACAGCAAACAACCACTACCTAATTGCTGTGTGAAGAAACACAGCTAAAATAATTTCTTGCTAAGTCCCCCCTGCCCAAACACTTCAAAAGGCAAAAAATTACTAAGACTGGGGTGAATGAAGAGCTGAGGTAACATACACTACCAAAAGACAGTTTGGAAAAAAGGACAGTGCACAGTCACTCTAATCACATTCTCACCCTGCAGGCCACAGACCTGATGTGCTGAATTTGGGGTTCAGAGTACTCTGGGCTGTATTTCAAGATATCCAAAATACCAGTGCCATTTGCTCTACAAACACCCTGCCTACAGAGGCCGGAAAGCATTGTAAGCACCGATGGGCAAAGCACCAGCACCCCGGCAGCACTCCAAGTGCCACGCACCACCAGCAGCACCAGGCCTGCTGCCGCACTCCATGCGAGTGCCACTCACCCTGGCCTCCTCCTCAGCCCCTCGCCCAGAAGTCGATAACTACAAAATCTCTCCGTCAGCGCATCCCACACCCCCTTCCTTGTATTCCCAGAGGAAGCAAGAACCCTGCTAGTGCGGATCAGAGACCAGCGGCTCCTCAGGAGACGGAGGGAACCTTGTCCTCCAAACAAACAGGAGGGAAAAAGGAAAACTAACCCCGCCCAGCCCCCACCGCAGCCTGCACTCCCCAGGGGGCTGCGGGCCCCC